CTGTACCAAGACTTTTGTAGCAGCAGTAACATCAAGATATCCTACATAAAACCAGCTTTTTACATCAGCATGATGGAATTTCCTTCTAGATGCTAACTCCCTCAAAGCATTAAAAATGTGTGCTAGTAAAAGTTGGCAAATATATTGTTATTTTATTGAACAGTAGAAGAGTCTAAATGTTATTTTATGGAAAACTTCATTTCCTGCCATGTGTTTTAACTTAGGACATGGCTAGTGGAGGTTTCAGTTGCGAAATCTTTTGATCCATTAAGTATGAGAGCAAGTACAAATGTTAAAACCTAGAGTTTCTCCTTCATGTTTTGCTTATTCAATAAAAGTAAAGAATGGCACATAACAAGGGCCGTGATTAAGATCCTAATTATATGAAACTAGCTTCAGAATAAAATAAAGATGCAACCTTCAAAAAGATTTTGCTAATGTTTTTAATCCACATTGCTAGAAATCTTTATATAGTGTACAGTATTTGTATTAATTAAAGTGTTACGAGGGAGGCGTGCCTTTAAAAATCATGAATTGTGCAAGGTATTTTGTGTTGCCAGTTATAGCAGTTTTGCCCAGATTATCAGGACTAATAGCAATGGTAAGTATGTTACTTTTTGTATTAATACCAGTAGGCATAAAGCATCTGGGAACATTTTTGGTCATAGAAACTATCCAAAAGAAAATATGACTTTTTCAATAGAAGATATAACTTCTTTCCCTTCTTCATTGAATTTTGTGTTTGAGTGTTGGCGAGTGATTGGTGATTTTACTTCTTGTAGTCTGACATTTGATTGTGAAGTATTCTCCATGTTTCAGCTGAAATTCTGTTCCACTTCTCTCATGATTATGAATGTTGGTTTCCCTGCCACCAGGTGACTCTTTGGGATGTGTTTAAAGCTTACGTGTGTCTAGTTTTGTTAATGAATCTGACAGATGCCAGTTAAACTGTTGTAAATGAAATAATCTACCTCTTGGCTCTGTTTCTACAGATTATTGTATTGAAAGAAAATAATGAATGTTTATAAAATAAACATTTCTTTTTTGTAAACTTAAAAAAAAATGAGACTAATAATGTAATGGAGAGTCCTCTGATGATTCTTACCACCTGTCTTTGTAATAAGATTTTTAAAATAGAGTGTGTGGCAAACAAAGGAAGATCCCTCTTCTACTGAAGGAGTCCCTGCCTGCCCTGACCTCCCCCAGAGTTTGGAACATGAATCTAGATTTTCTGTAGTGGGTGTTTTCCCCTTTCTTTTTAAACAATAAAAGTTTCCTGAACTTCTACTAACCTTTGTTCTGGAAACCAATTTTAATTGACTTTAACTTAGAATTTTCATTCATTCTGCAAAAATTTACTGACTCTAACTATGTGTTGGGCCCTGTGCTTGATCTAGGGAGTTGATATAGATGTAAATTCTACCCAATACCTGACCTCGGGGGGCCTGTGGTCTGTGTGGTGGGAAAGACATGTTCATGAGTATTTATAATTTACATTAATATATGCTGAATATGATAAGAAAGGCAGAAACATTTTCTTGGTAGAGTTGAGAGGATGGAGAACAGAGAGAAGACTTCAGGCAGGGGGTGGTATTTGAGCAGGATCTGGAGGGTGGGTAGGAGGTTGACAGGACTGAGAGCGTGCTGCATGCCTAGGGACCTGGCAGGGTTTTGGAAGTGAGCAAGTGTCAGGTGCCTTTGAGGACCAGCAAGTTGTCCAGCTTGGCTGGTAGACCACTGGCACAGGGATCCAGGGGGAGCTCAAGCTGGGGTGACTCACAAGGGCCTTGTTACATTTTATTGTATTCTTTTGGTAGTTGAGTGTTAGAGAGCCCTTGAAGGGTTTTGAGCCGGAGAGTAACTCAGTGAGGTCAGAACATTAGGAATATTCACCTCTCACTGCTTTGAGAGGGACAAGAAGGAGGCTAAGACAGCAATTCAAGTAAGAAGAAAGAAATTCTTGGCTTAAGATGGTGGCAGGTGGGCAAGGAGAAAAAAAAACATGAGCCAAATTCATGGAACTTGGCTCTGTTAGGGACAAAATGCCTGGAAGAGTCAATGGCTGTGTGTGTGTGTGTGTGTGTGTGTGTGTGTGTGTGTGTTTATCAGTTGAAAATGGATTTACTTTATTGAATCCAAGACAGGTCCAGAATTGAAATCCTGATGATGGAAAGCAGCCATTTTTGTGGGGCCCTCTGAGGACAGGAACCCTCTCCATCTCTGCATCCCCAGTGCCAGGCACTGTACTCAAGAAGTGTTTGTGGAGGGAATGAATATGGTGGACTTAGTGGTACACATAGTGTGTTTACCATTGGGACAGGGCCATCAAGTGATAAAAGGCCACACAGACGTGGGTTTGAATCTTGACTCGGCTGTTCTTGAGTGATCTTGAGCAAGTTACTGAACTTGTCAGTTTCCTCATCTGCAGAATGGAGGATGATAACACTATCTTTTGGGATATAATATGGTTATTCATATTAGCTGAATGAATTAATGCACATAAAACATCTAACCAGCACCTGTTATATACCTGAGATAAATGCTCCTCAGCATTGGCTGTTGTTACTCACAGGGGAGCACAGATGTGAGCCTGTGATGGGCACAAAAGTAATGGTGAGTTGGGGTGGTTAGTAGCCTTGGGAATGCTTGCGGGCCTCCGCCTAGAGGTGGGAGATGGAGTAGGAGTGAGGCAGTTTAGAGAAAGCTGCCATTGAGGAAGTGGGAGGAGGACTGGTAAAGGAGAAGGAGGAGGATCAGATTGGAGAGGCAGGAGGGGACCCCAAGAGTTCAATGTCAGCTAGCCCAGGCAAGGAGAATGCTTCAAGATGGAAAAGAAGTGAAAAGTATCCTATTCAGAGAGATGAGGGAGGGTGAGAACTGAGACGGGACGTTGAGTTTGGTTGTTCAAGGAGACATGGGCCAATCTTGGAAGGAGAAGTTCCGGGAGAGCAGAAGCCAGGTTACCTGTGGTTATGGAGAGCATCACGGAAAAAGGGAAGATTCTGTCGGAAAAGGAAGTATCAGTAGAGGCAGGGATTAAAGTCAAGATTTCTAAAATAGCTTAAAGACAGTATGGCTTTGAAGTTTGCACTAGCAAAATAATCAGTAGGACATGGTACAAAGACCACCATAAGAGAGTAAGTAAGGTCCTTACTGTTGTCCATGAGAACAGTCCCCCTGAGGGTGTGCAGTGCTCAGTCTTCGAGGTCCTGCATGGCAGCACTGGTGTGGTGGCATATATAATACTAAATGAATAAAGTATAATATATAATCTACTAAATAAATACTAAGAAATTAATTATAATTAATGCGATAAAATGCGTTATAATTGACACTTAATGAGTGTTTGCTGTAGGCCATAAGTGCTTTGCATATATTGTCATTTAATCCTCCCAGCAACTCTTGGAGGTATAGGTGTTGTTATTCTCATTTTATAGCTATGCGGGGCTGGGTAGTGTGCCCAGAGTCACATAGCTGGTAAGTGAGTGGTGGAACCAGGATTAAATACTGGGCAGTCTAGCTACAGAGCCCATGCTAACAGCCATACTATGCTGCTTCCTTTTATTTTGTTGCTTAATTGCTTGAGACAAGCAAATGGCATTAGATGTCATGTCTGATGAAACAGAAGGCCTAGAGAGAGGAAAACTGAATGAAGCACAGGGCTGATGGGAGCTGATGAACCTTGATTCAGAGGGGATAGGCGGGACTAGTGTCAAAAGCGCAGGTAGAAGGTCAATAGTGGAAAATCACCCCAGTTGTCTCAGGGAGAGGAGGAAGGGAGTATTGGCAAAATACAGAGAAAGAGAGAGGCAGGAGAGAGCGAAAGGTAGAAAACTTTAGGAGATATTTTGAGGTGGTGAGGGAGACCACCATCTATCATGGGAATTTTCCAGGGGATTTTTAAGAATTGTCTTCCACTGATAGTTTGATTAGACGTAGTCCTGTTGGAGAAAAGGGGCTGAATGAGCCAGCATTAGGGTAGGAGGTTCATTGACCTTGACAGATTTCCAGGGCCCCTTAAGTGGAGCTGTGAAGGTCCTGCCCAAGGAGAATGACTGTGTCAGTCACCTGCTGCTGATTTGACTTGCTGCCAGAGTGGAGTTGAAGGGAAGGAGAAGGTTGGGGAAAGAGTCGTGTTGTCTTTTTCCCCCTGTTGTGAAGATGTTCCAGGTTTAGGGAGGAAGAGAAACCCAAAGGCAGAAGAAACAAAGAATGAATGAAGTAGAGACATTTTGAATTTGAGGGGTGCCGAGGCATGGATGGGCCTTAACCGAAGAGTGCCTGACTCAGACCTTTTTAGGATTTTCTAGAAATCAGATACATCATTCAGAATAGTGCTTCTCAAACTGCCTGGAGTGAAGGGCTGTTTTTGTTGTTGTTTTAAGGTTGTGGACTGTTTATATTTTGTAAAATATAATAAAAAATAAATTAAAAAAACAAAGACATAAAGAGTATAAACACAATTTGTTGTCTATTAGATTCAGCAGATGCACAATTACTCTGTGAAATTGCTAAAAAAACAGGTTTCTGAGTGCTCACTTTTAATTTCTGAAATTAGCTCACCCCGGACTCCTGGCAGGCTCAGAACAAACACAGGCCCCTAGCTGCCGGTGGGCCTCACTTTGCCTACATCGTGCTAACAGTGAACTTCGACTCGAGGGCTCCGGTTCCCCTAGCTCTTCCCAGGGTGTCCAGTCCAGTCCAGGCGTGTGCTAGACACTCATTGAATAAGCACTTGTTAAACAATCCCTTTAAGAGAGGGTTTTTGTATGCGGAATAAAATACAATTAGTATGATAGCAAGTCTCTCAAAAATAAGATGAAGTTTGTTCACCTGATGGTAGGCAGAATTTTAAAGCAAAGTGTGCTCTACCTTGTTTTGCAATTTTCAAAAGCCACATCTTTGTAGATTTCAAAAAACCTTAGTTACCAAAAAACCACAATTTGTTCCTCACATTGTGTACACACTCACCTCAGCCGCAGTTCGTCTTTTGGCTCCAGGTCGTGTCGGCAGCTAAGGTGTGTGGGGCTGCCTATGAGTCCCCATCGGTGAAGAGGCTCCGCCTGCTTGTTGCAGATAAGGATTTTTCCTTTAAAGCTGGCCAGTGGTAAGTGGCTTTTCTGTTTCCTGTGTGTTGTGTGTGTTCAAGAAGGTGCCATCAGAAAGAAGAGAGTATTTTTTCTTCTGGAAAGGACTCTGTGGGCGGCGGTTCCTCCCATGGGATAGGAATTCTGGACCATCTCCATTCAGGGTGGGCCTTTTTGGCATGGAGAATCTGATTCCTTTCCCGGCCTCCAAGCCCACCTCAGTTTTGAGCCCATGACCCTTTCAGTCATATGTGAAAATTGCTGCCTTGAGTTTTCCAGATTGAAACGAGGCAGCTAGTTCTGGTCCATGGACCCGACAGCTCTGATAACAGCTCTGATAATTGATGTTCTGCAGCAGTGGTTGCTAATAGAATGCACTGCAGTCATCTAATCTGCCTGAGTTATGTGTTGCTAGGGACTGATAACATTTTTAGAAATTAGTCATCTTTGTGTCGAATACAGAGTAAAAACAGCAGTCTGCAAAGAAGAGTAACTGGTTATGTCACAGCTGACCACCCTCTCGACTCAATTCCTGCCTCACTCATACCTTGCCTGGGTTGGGTTTAAATATTTTGCTGACTTTATTATCAGGATTCCCCAGTCAGGCCCAGGCCACACCATACAAATCATGAGTCTTCCCCATTCCACTCTGAGGACTTGTCAGTATGCTGACAGGGGAACAGCCCGGCTGTCCCACTATTCCTGCGAATGGCCTCACTGAGCTGCAATTTAATTGACTTGTAAATAAAGCAACTTGTATTTCCTTAGGAAAGGTGTGTTTGGGTGTATGTTTCCTTTATTTAAATAAAGCATTCATTTCTAAATGAATTTCTGGCATGTCAATCTTGGTAGTATTTCTTAGGAGTCACTTGACTAATTTTGGCAGTCCATCTGGAAATGTGGTTTTGTTAGAAGGAGGATGTGTGATAATAGAAGTGTGATAATAGCAAGAGTTAGCAGTCTTGTGTTAATAGTTTGCCTTTGAATTTAGAACTAGAAAACAAGATGCTGATTGCAATAATTTGCGTTTGTGAAGCAATTTACTGCAATCTTTGCACATGTTCAGTGATACATATTAAATGCATTTGGGCTGTTTTAGGGGGGTGGGCAACATTTTTACCCTTCAGAAATAGTTTAGCAGTTATTACATTGAAAAGTGGAAACTTTAATTGTAATGATCTGTTTTTCCATTTTTCCCTTTTGTGGAAGTGTTTGTGTACTGTGCACATTGCTGTCTCTGTGCCTTCAACTCTGAATTGTGCCAAGACGCTGACCCATCTCCTGATTAGAAAAAGCCTGTGCATTGGTTTATAATGCTGCTACCATGGTGTGTCTGCAGGTGTGTTAGCACTTGCAAACTGCAGTTACCTGATAAGAAAAATGTCCTCATTCCCTAGTGATATGTATGGAAATAGGATCTTGTTGTGATTCCTGAAATAAAATTATTCGGGGTTGGAGTTATGTATCCCATATTAGTGAATGGATTTGGTCATTTCACTGATGTTAGGACTGGTTTTAGTATGTGCCTGGCACACTCCTGCTTCAGCGAGCAGACGTGGGGGTGGCCATCTCTGGCTGGTTAGTGTTGACCCTTTCCCTGGCGCCCGGATCCTCCCCTTTTAAAAGCTTACTCCCTTCTCACTGACTTATTGTATGGCTCTGGGGCCCGTGAGTTCTTTGGATATTTGACTGCATGGTTACAGAATGGCCCTTTGCTTAGGTTAGTGGTGTCTGCTCCTTCAGTGCGGTTGCTGGGATGGCTTGCACTCTAGACTCGCTTAGATCATCAGCTTAGTGGTTACCTCTGTGTGGCACTTTGGGGAAGAGGGCAAGGATTTGGGAGAGAAGGAGTGTGGATGTGGCTGGCGTGCAATTTGTGTAGTTAGGATTTTCAGTGTGGAGTGCTGCTGGAGATAAAGGAGAGGGTTGCTGTTGGGCTTGTCTTTGGGGTGGGAGATTGGGCCATGATCCTACACCTCTGCATTCTTGACCAGTGGCCCTCTCTGACACCTGCCCAACTCTGCAGGGGAGGCTCCAAACCCGCCTCTAAATAAATAAATGAATGCTCTAGAGCTTTGGGCACAGATCCCCAGGTGGACACCTTCAACATAGACCAAGATCGGCCTCTGGGGCTCTTCCCATGCTGGGTACTGGTTCCTGTACTAGGAAACCAGATCCAAGAACCTCAAGCAATCGAATCCAGAGAGAAAGGCCAGAAGAGGAAACCCCCTCAGAACCATTTCTCACATAGGCAGGGCTAAACCTCTTGGGCTCGTCTCACCAGCAGGTCCACTGCTTAGCACCCAGCTCCTTGGTGAGTCCTGCTCTTGACCTTCTCGGAATTTCTTCCTCCCTGGGGGTGGAAAGATTAGCCCTACTTCTTGGGACTGGAGTGTGCCACCAACAGTCCTCATGCAGCGTTGTGAGTGCCCTGAGTTGCCAGATTGAGTGTTCCTTGTGGCGCTCACTGCTGTGGACCGGGTCCATCTCCTGAGGGAGGCTGTGTCACAGTGTCATATGCCTAGTGCTCTGGAGACTGCTCTGCTCACATGCTTGCTTTTCTCCCTGCCAGCCCTGTGATGTTTTGGGATCTCATAGTAAAGCATTGTCATTTGGCCACAGTTTGCGCACCTGCTGTGTGCTGGGCACTGGGGCTGCATCTGTGGACAGGACAGGGCTGCCTGGTGTGTCACAGTTGGAGATGGATATGTGTGCCTTACTGCAGAACTAGGCTCTTCCTCTCAGTTCTTCATATACTCATCTGGGGTGTGGTAGGTGCCTCAACTCATGGCTCCAGGAGTGCTAATCCTGCAAAGGTCATTTTTAAAGGGGAGTGTGTGTGTGTTTAAAACTTCTTTCTTGGACAGATATTTTATTAAATATGTATTGTGCATATTTTATTAAATCCATTCAGATGAGATTTTTATGTCATTTGAATTCTGTAGCATTTAAAGAAGGAGTCCTTTTAGATGGTAGGGATTCCCTTTCACTCACCTGAGAAAATGGTCTTTATCAACACCAAGCAGCAGAGGGCACCATAGTTCAGGAGATAAAGCAGCAAAAGTAGCTTATTGATATATTTATTTTTTTAAACATGGGCACAGTGGAAATGCTATATACCTCCTCTCTGATAGCATATAGAAACTGGCTTAATAAATGTCAACTGTAGTCTTTTTCATTTTGTGTCTTGCCTGAAATGAAATGAAAGGGAGATGAAAGTGTTCGTGGAAATGAGTCAAGTGAGTATACGTGAAAGTAGGCTAGGGACCTTTTCTGGAGCACTTCCAGTCCAGAACTGGTTTTTAAAACTATAAAAAATGACTGGATATTTAAGGCAGATTAGAATAGAACATCATATCAGTAGAGAACATCGTGTGCTTTTATTATAAGCCTACTGGTAGGAAAACAACTGAGGGAAATGATATTCTTGCTCTTTGATGGCTGAGAAACATCTAGATTGGATGTACAGATTTCCTAGACATGGGGATGAGAATTTTTTTGGTCGCAGGTTCTAATAAACTGCTCTTTTCTTTGGTATATGACTAAGTTTGCTGCATTTTCTAGAATCCCCACCAAAAAAGGGTTTTTGTGGCATAGAATTATCGAAGGCTTGAAACTCACGAGAGTTCTAGGCTATAGGAGTGTGCTTAGAAGAAAAAAAGGAAACAGAAGACTGGGAATTTAGAAGGCCACATCAGCCTATTTAGTTTGTCAAATGCCAGTGAAAAAGTTTTTGTGGCCTTTTTTTAATGTACTTTTTAAGTACTTTCATTGAGGTATACTTAAAATATCATAAAATTCATACATTTAAAGTGTTGGATTCAGTGGGTTTTAGTATGTTCACAGAATTGTGCAGCCATCAGTACAAATTTCAGAACATTCTCATCATCCCAAAAAGAACCCTGTACCAATTATCATTCATTCCTCATGCTCTCGCCCCCTTGGGCAACCACCATTCTGTGTTCTGTCTTGATGGATTTGTCTATTCTGGATGTTTCATATCAATGGAAGTATACGATATGTGGCCTTTTTTGTGACTAGCTTCTTTCACTTAACATAATTTCAGTGTTCATCTATGTTATGGCATGTATCAGTACTTCATTCCATTGTATGGACATACCACATTTTGTTTATCCATTCATCAGCAGATGGACATTTAGATTGTTTCCACTTTTAGACTATTATCAATAATGTTGTTATGAACATTCATGTACATGTTTTTGAGTGGACATATATTTTCATTTTTCTTGGGTACATACCTAGGAGTGGAATTGTTGATCATATGGTAACTCTGTTTAACATTTTAAGGCACTGCCAAAGTGTTTTCCAAAATGGCTGTGCCATTTTACATTCCCACCAGCAAATGTATAAAGGTTCCAATTTCTCCAGATCCTCACTAACACTTGCTGTTGTCTTGTTGATTATAGCCATCCATCCTGGTGGATGTGAAATGGTAGCTCATTTGTGATTTTGATTTGCATTTCCCTAGTAACTAATGATGTTGAGCATCTCATGTGCTTATTAGCCATTTATATATCTTCTTTGGAGAAATGTTTATTCAATCTTCTGCCCATTTTTTATTTGGGTTGTTTGTCTTTTTATTACTGAGTTGTAAGAGTTCTTTATATATTCTGAATACAAGTCCTTTTTCAGATATATGATTTGAAAATATTTTCTCCCATTCTGTAGGTTGTCTTTTAACTTTCTTGATGGTCTCATTTGTAGCACAAAGTTTTTAATGTTGGTGAAGTCTGGTTTCTCCATTTTTTCTTTGACTCTGTGTTTTGGTGTCGTATCTAAGAATCTGTTGCCATGAAGATTTATTCCTGTGTAAATCTTCTAAGAGTTTATAATTTTAGCTTCTACATTTAAGTCTATGATCCATTTTGAGTTAATTTTTGTATATGGTGTGAGATAAGGGTCCAACTTCATTGTTTCACGTGTGGATATTCAGTTGTCCCAGCACCATATGTTGAAAAGACTATTCTTCTGCCATTGAATTGTGTTGGTACCCTTGTTGAAAATCAGTTGATCTAAATGTAAGGGTTTATTTCTGGACTCTTGGTTTTTTTTCATTGATCTATATGTCTGTCCTTGTGCCAGTACCACAATGTCTTCATTACTGTAGCTTTATAGTAAGTTTTGAAATCAGAAGGTGTGAGTCCTCGAAATTTGTTCTTTTTTTTTAAGATTGTTTTGATGACTCTGGGTTTCTTGAATTTTCATATTAATTTTATGATCAGCTTGTCAGTTTCTGCAAAGAAATCAGCTGGGTTTTGGTAGGCATTGCATTGAATCTGTAGATCGATTTGGGGAGTATTGCCATCTTAGCAATATTAAGTCTTCCAATCCATGAACATGAGATGTCTTTCCATTTATTTAGATCTTCTTGAATTTTTTCAATGTTTTGTGGTTTTCAGTATACGTCTTATGCTTCTTTTGTTAAATTTATTCCCAATTATGTTATTCTTTATGCTATTATAAATGGAATTATTTTTCTTAATTTCACATTTAGATTGTTCATTGCTAGTGTATAGAAATACAGTTGATTGTTATATATTGATCTTATATCCTGCAACCTTATTTGAACTTGTTTATTAGTTCTAATATCTTCATAGTAGATTCCTTAGGATTTTTTATATGCAACATCATATCATCTACAGCCTCTTCCTCTCCAATTTGGATGCCTTTTATTTCATTTTCTTGCTTAATTGCCTTGGCCAGCACCTCTAGGACAATGTTGAGTAGAAGTGGTGGGAGCAGACGCCTTTGTCTTGTTTCTGTTCTTAGGGGAAAAACTTTCAGCCTTTCACCATTAAATATGATGTTAGCTGTCAGTATTTTGTAGATGCCCTTTATCAGGTTGAGGAAGTTCCCAGTTATTCCTAGTTTATTGCATATTTTTATTATGTAAGGTGTTGGATTTTGCCAAATGCCTTTTCTACATCTACTGAGATGATCATATGAGTTTTGTCCTTTATTCTACTAAATGTTGTATTACATTGATTAATTTTCAGATGTTAAACCAACTTTGTATTCCTGGAATTTTTGCATCTGTATTCACAAGGGATATTGGTCTGTAGTTTAATTTTCAGATGTTAAACCAACTTTGTATTCCTGGAATTTTTGCATCTGTATTCACAAGGGATATTGGTCTGTAGTTTTCTTGTGATATCTTTGTTTGGTTTTAGTATCAGAGTTATACTAGCCTCATAGAGTAAGTTGGGAAGTATTCTCTTCTGTGTTTTTGGAAGAGTTTGTGAAGGAAATGTTTGGGGGAATTCACCAGTGATGCCATCTGGACATATGCTTTTCTTTGTGGGAAGTTTTAAAATTACTAATTCAATCATTTTACTTGTTATGGGTCTGTTCAGGTTTTATTTTTTCTTGAGTCCAATTTGGTAGTTTGTGTCTTTCTAGGAGTGTGTCCATTTCATCTAATTTTTTGTTGTATAGTTCATAGAATTCCTTTCTGGTCTTTTTTTATTTTTGTAATGTTGGTAATGGTGTCTCCTCTTTTATTCTTGATTTTAGTAATTTTATCTTTTCTGTTTTTTTCTTAGTCTAGCTAAAAGTTTGTCAATTTTGTTTATCTTGTTGCCCACTTTTAAAATTGCTTCAGCAATAATAATTTATTTGCCTTTCCTTTTAGGGTTGATTTCTTTATCCCAGGAGTCTCTGTGGTTGGTGGTTTCTCAATATGCTCCAGCCCTAGACTGCTAGAACAAGAGAGAATGATAGAATTGGCAGTGAAATATACAAATCACCCTCCTGCCCTCTGGATTCACAATCAGGTGAGCAAACTGCCCATTTTTTAAACTTGAAAATCTGGGCATCTCTGCCTCCCACAAAATTTGTGTTCAGCTCACTTGATCCACCTAAGAAACCTAGGCTTGAGTTAAAAGGGTAGAAGTTCACAAATTGCTCCCCCTATATCTGGAATTCAGACCAGGAAGGTCAAAGAAGCAGAATCTTTTTGATGTGTTAAGGATGACTGAAAGATGTTTTGGGATCTGGAAATATCTTCTAGGTTACCAAACAATATTCAGTTTATACTACTTCATAATTAAAACTTTTTACTTTATATGTGAGTTTTTGAAAATTGGCTCTCTGTATGTCATGTAAATAGTGAATCTATAAATCAGATTATTTTGTCCTAACCGTCCTAAGTAAAGGAAATTAAACTATTCTTCTTTGATTAGTTGGAGGGTTAATGATCTTTGATTACATACTGCTGGTGCCCAGAGCTGAGCACTGCTAAATCCATGGTGCCATTGCCTCTCCATTTCAGTCTCTGGAGAGCTCTTCACACGGGATTCTGAGAGAGAATCCACATTTGCTGCTAATAACTCATGCTTCGGCCGTGGGACTCAGCACAATCCTACATAAGCTGCCTGTTTATTACCTACTAGAACTCGGATAACAAAGAATGAGCTCAGAACAGATCAGTAATTTGTCATCTTAGTTTTTGACCCTTGTCCCCTTTTTACTACCACCCCCTTCACTTTTAGAATTGCCTTCTATATTTACCAACAACCCCCATCCCATCCCTGACATTTTCTCATCCCCTTTACCAAAAAGGAAGGTACCAGTACAAATACGATTTAACAAACAGCATTCTCCCCTTCTTTTCCTGGAAATGATCAAGAATCAACAAAGGAAAACAAAACAAAAACTCTAACTTTATTTTCAGCAGAACTTGGAAACATACTCCAGTATATTTTGCAGAGACTTGTTATGTTTATTTAGGAGCCACAGGGGAATAAGTAGAGGAGGGACGCCAACAATAGCAGATCTCATAGAGCACCAACAAAAACACACAGGAGTGGGAATGGGGGCATAAACTTACAGCCTCATGTGACTTTGTTAAATTAACATTTGGTAAGTAGAGCCCCAGGGTGTTGGATGGTAAGCCAGGTTCAACAGAAGACCACATGAGAAATTGAAATAGAGAAGTTTATTATCCCAGGTCCTGGTGGAAGTGTGTGGCATGCCTCAAGGGCCCACCTGGGGAGATCAAGGCAGGGTGCAGGCAGAAAGAGCAACAGGACCTGGGGCACCTGCCTTTATTAGGGTCCGTGGGTAGAGTGCTTTGGGTTCCCAGGCAAAGGCCGGATCGGTCAATTCAAACCAAAAACAGCAGGGTTTTGGTAAGATCCATGCTGGTGTTATCTAAGGGGTACACAGGCAAAGTCTCTGGGGAACAGGGGAGACTGTTGATTACAAGGGCTGTTGAGGAAGTCATATCAGGAACTTACATTTACTTGTGACTCTGCAGGTGTGCTTGCATGAGGGGCTAATGTCAGTTTAAGGCCCTCGCAGGCCACTTGACCAAACAAACTGGATGCCAAGGCAGCAATACCGTGGAGTAGCTTAGCCAAACTCTTGACATAGCCCTTATCTGCAAAAGAGGGTGTGGAAACAAGGTTTGAGTTAATGGCCACAGAAGTCCCACCTGGATGCAGTTAGGTTCAGTTAGGAGACAGGGTACACAAAGAATCATTCAGACAAGTCATGTTTGTAGGAAGTGGTGTGTCTTGGTGGTGGCTGAAGAGAGCTTTTGTGTTGTGAAAACCAGCTAGCTTAGGACATTCTCTTGGCCTGTCACCCAGAATAGGACCTTCTTGCAAATAGTTGGTCCCCCCAAAAACCCAATTCATCTTAATCTCATGAAAGAAATCAAAGAAGACATGAGTAATTGGAAAGACATAAGATGTTCATTGATTGGAAGACTCAATAGAGTAAAGAAGTCAGTTCTCCTTAAATTGACTATAGATTTAACAACACCTATCAAAATCTCAGCAGGATTTTTTGTAGATGTAGATAAATTCATTTTAAAATTTATATGGAAGGGCAAAGGAGCTAGAATAGCTGAAAATGTTTTGTAAAAGAAGGATAAAGTGGGAGGAATCACATTACTCAAATTCAAGATTAAAATAAAGCTACGCTAATCAAAACAGTGTGGTATTGGTGAAGAGATAGATAAATGGAACAGAATAAAGAGTTCAGAAATAGACCTACACGTGTGGCCATTTGATTTTTGACGAAGGTGCTAAAGAAGTTCAATGGAGAAAGGATAACCTTTTCAACAAATAGTGCTTGGAACAGTTGTACATCCATAGGGAAAAAAAGAACTTAAACCTCATACTTTGTATTCAAAATTAACTCAAAATAGGTTGTAGATCTAAGTATAAAACATGAAACAGTAAAAGTTTTAGAAGAAAACATAGGAAATATTCTGAACTTAAGGGTAGGCAAAGAGTTCTTAGACACGACACCAAAAGCAAGATCCATAAAAGAAAAGCTTGATATGTAGGACTTAATCAAAATTAAAAACTTTTTTCTGCAGTAGATACTGTTGAAGAATTTAAAAAAATAAGCTGCAGACTAGGAGAAAGTATTTGCAAATTAGATATCCAGCAAAGGACTTGTATCTAGAATATATAAAGAACTCTTAAAAGGCAGCAGAAAGAAAACAATAAACATAATTTTAAAATGGGCAAAGGATTGAACAGACACTTCACTAAAAACGATATAAGGATGACAAGCAATGAAAAGATGTTCAGTATCATTAACCATTAGGGAAATTAAAACCATATATAGTGGGATACCTCTACAGACCTATTAGAATGACTAAAATTAAAAATATTGATAATACTAAGTGTGACCATATACCAAGTGTGGAGCAATTTATATCGTAGAACTCTTTTATATTGCTTATATTGCTAGCAGGAATGCAAAATACCACAGCTATTCTGGAAAACATTTTGGCAGTTTCGTATGAAATTAAATACACACTTAGCAGAAGACCCAGCAATACCACTCCTGGGTATTTATCCTAGAGAAATGAAAGCTCTGTTCATACAAAAACCTGTACACGAATGTTTATAGCAGTTCTTTTCATAATTATCAAAAACTGGAAACAACCCACATGTCCTTCAACAGGTGAATGGATAAAGAAACTGTGATACATCCATACAATGGACCACTATTTAGCAATAAAAACAGATGAACTATTGATGCACACAACTTGGGTGAATCTCAGAGGCATTATGTTGAGTGAAAGAAGCCAGGCTCAAAGGTTACGTACTGTATAATCCCATTTATGTCACATTCTGAAAGACAAAAATACAATGATGGAAAACAGATCAGTGGTTGACAGGGGTTAGGGGTGTGGAAGGGTATTAGCATAAAGGGATAGCACAAGGGAGTTTTTTGGGGGGTGATGGAACTGTTCTATACCTTGATTTTGGTGGTAGTTACACAGATCTGTGTGTGCGTTAAGATTCATAGAACTCTATGCCAAAAGTGAAAATAAAGGTTTACTGTAAGAGAACATTTAAAAAGATTTTTACATTTCTAGGGGCATAAAAAATACATATTCTTTTTATGGTTTACATGTCAAGTTGTGTCTGTTCAGAATAACCCCCACTGCCTGCCTTAGCATTTCCATTGTAAATGTATCCTATCACATTTTTACCCTGGACCTTCTGAGTCCTTCCCTGGGTGTGGCCTCGGCTGCCTCATTCCTTTTTAAATTCTCTTTAGATTTTACACCCATTACTGTCTCTAGGCTGCATCCTGAGTCTCTAAAATATGCCGCTGGAGTGGGAGCAGCAAGGTGTCCATGTGCCCCATGCTCAGTGTTAAAATGAGTTTAGCTGTCCCTGCTCCTAGCGCCATGAGCCCCCTCCATTCGTCAGCCTCCCGTGTGACCTGACCTGGTCCTGGTCCACAGCTCCCTGCTTGGTTTCATGCCTCACTGGCATTTCAATGAAGGAACTTATTCTTAGAGGCTGTAGAAAATCTCCAAGTGGCATTGCCTGAATGCACATCCTGATTGTAGTGCCTGCTCCAGTCTGCCCAGTGGGAATTGCAAACAGCCTTTATGGAGTCAGATTTTTCTTGGAACCATTCTCAGGTGGCTATTTTCCTCCTGAGGATTTGTCTTATTAAGTGATTAGAGTGGACAATGGGGGCACGTGAGTGTCTGGGTGGCAGCAGGCTGCTCTGTTGGGACATGAGATAAAGTGCCATAAACGTCTTCCTTTATTTTATCTGCTTTGGCTCAAGCTCCTGGCAGGGTAGAGGGTTCTAGACAGCTATTGTGTGCTGGGCTCCAGTTGCTGTGGAAAAGTTGTTTGTTTCACAAGTAGAAAATCTATACCCAAATTAGATACATTGCTGTGTAATTGAAGGTAATGTCCTTTTACTCACTTCCAATATTATACTGTACAGTACTTTGAGTCTTGTGTTCATGCTGCCCTGGCAGTTTTTATTGATCAACAAAAGACAAAGAGAGCTTTTGATTCTTTCCAGATGCTAGCAAATTAGAAGATGGATCCACTGAAGATTATTTTGTCACTAAGGAGACGACAGGCTTCTTGAGTGTTATCTTTCCCTAGGGCACATTTTCTTGCCAACTTTAGGGTTGAAAATACTCTGGTTTCTAAAAACAATAACCTAAAGGCTTTGTTTGTTGTCATTACTAAGCATGCTGAAGATGCCCATTGGAGAAGATTCTCTCCCTCTCATTTCTTAGTCTCTTTTATTCTTAGATGCTTAGAGATAGAGAGAGAAGTGTACAGGCAAGCGGAGGTGGGGGAGGGGATGGTGAGCGTATAGAGACATTAAATCTGTTGTCATCGTTAGGGAGAGCCCCTCATGTCACAGATTCTGTTTTTGAGACTTGAAAGAGCATTTTACAGCACTTTGGTAGCCAGTGTGGCAATTCCTAGATTTTAGTTATTCCTAACAGAATGCTCCCCTTGCTGCTAATTTCTTTTGTCAAAAATGAAAACCCACTTACCGTCCTTTATGTAAAAATCTCCTGCGTATTTAAAATAGTTAAGTTCAGATGTGTTTTTTCCCCTCAGAGAAAGGATTTCCATTTATCCATTCTTTACCAAAAAGGACCTGCTTTGTGGGTTCAAATAATTTTCAGTTTTTCTTCGGTTTTCTCTAAGGTTAACTCTTCTTTAAGATGTAGAGCCCCAAATTAAATTCCTGTCGAGAAGTACTTACTGCTTACCTGCTGTGCAAGGGGCCAAGATATGAATGCTAAAGATTTGGTCTTCAAAAACCACGTGATAATGTTAATACTTCTTAGGAGGGAGTTTATTTAGTTGATTTATGTCAGGAATGTGTGATGGAACAGTCCTATGCTCTTAGTATCAATTTCTTTATTCCTAGATTCTGTTTTTTAGTGACAGGGAAGAAGGAAGCAGGCACCCCCAGTGCTGTTTCTTCCATGACAGCTGCAAAGACCAAAGTACCCTCTTATATAGAGCTTGATGCCGGCAGGGAGGTCTCCCCCACAGTGTGTCATGTGATGCCCATCTCGGCCCTGTGAGGTGAGCAGGACAGGGGTTGGTACCCATTTTCCAGATGCGCAGCAGAGGCTCAGAGAAGTGAAGGGACTTGCTGGATTTCACTTTTTTTTCCATCTTTAATCACTTGCTGTGATTAAAATTCAGTCTTCTCACTCCTAGATCAATGCGTTTTTTCCACACTAGGGGTTCTCGACCCTGTCAGATCCAACGCTCCCTTTCTAGAACTACCCTCAAGTGAAATTCAAAGTTAATGTAATCAACACATAAAAATTTTTAAAAGTAACAGTTCTCTAAGTGTAATACAAAGGAGAAATAAAGGAAAGTGATTCATAGAGGCTATCTATGTATTTCAATATATAACTATAACTAGTTGGGCACATTTAAACCAGAAGATAGAATGAAGTAGATGGCTGTTCCTTAACGTAGAGTCACCATGAACACACTGTCTACAAATGCAGATGCTATGGGTGGTTGTATGGTGACAGAAGGACCATGCACACATGTCACCAACTGGAATGTGGTTTTCTAGAACAGTAAACATGCTTGGTAAAGTTCTGAACCCAACAAAGTGCAATCTACACAGTGGTTATATTCTGGAAAATTGAGTTAGATCCGTGCAAAAAGCACTTTGAGTTTTTTTGTAAAATGAGGTAGGGTCAGGTCTCAGATCATTGTCCTACATGTACATCCCATGGGCTGTTCACAGTCTGTGCGGGGCAGTCCTGTGCCTTGTAGATAATGGTGTGCTGCTCAACCGGCTCTTGGAGTGAAAAAAGCCCTGATTGGCAGCATTTGCTGATTTCTGTGCTGTCAGTACTCCTACAATGGCTGATTTCAAACTACCAGGAGAAACTGGCTCACAAAATTCCTCCAAATTTAACCATCAGCTTAGTAATAGCCAGCCTGCTCCAGCACACCACTGACTTCACAGGACATCCAGCATCTCTCGCTCTGCCCTCTGGATGCCAGATGGGTTCCCCAAATCACTTAACAATAGAAAAGAGTCACCACAAGTTTCCAAAACACCACCATGCAAAACCAGTGCATTCAGCTCTGATGGTACTTCTGGTGAAAGTGACCCCATCAAATAGTAGATTCTTGACTTGGGTGGGTGTACGTGGTCCTCACCCCCTGGTGTGAAGCCTCTGGCTGCCTGTTTTGGCTGCTCCAGGGAGGAGCAAACAGTCCTGAGAAGTGCTGCCGTGCTGGCCTAAGCCTGTGGAGCAGGTCTGCTTGTGCCCTCCTGGCGAGCAGGAGGAAGCCCCTGGTGCCCACACTCCTCAGCCCTCGCGAGCCAGGGCAGCCACAGTGTAGTGACACTTGCCCCATCCTGCGTCTCTCAGCTCCGTGGCTTTGATCAGAACACATGAGCACCACTCAGAAAAGGAAACTCATACTTCAGAGCTGTCCCCTGAGTCCACTGCCTCTTTCCACAACCCAGTTCATCACCTAAGAAGTTAACAAATGGCAGGATTACTGAGGCGAGTCTCCTTTTCTCATACTGGAATGGCTGTGCAGTATGGATCAGAAAGGCGGAGGAGCAAATGGCCTGTATAATGGACAAGTGGAATCAATTCGCAGGGCCCTGGGAAAATTGAGAGCAAGCTGTAAAAGTGGTCCTAAATACTGATAAAGTTGCAGGAGGTAGATGGAGTTAGTTTTATTAAAGAACATTTGGTTTCCGACCTGTGCTACAAAGGACTAAAGGATCTTTTCTTTCCTGCCTTAGTGTACACTTGACTCTGAAGTGGCCGTGAGAGTGGGTGGAGAGTTCTTCTTTGACCCGCAGCCTGCAGATGCTTCTAGAAACCTCGTGTTGATTGCAGGAGGAGTTGGAATTAACCCTCTGCTTTCCATCCTACGACACTCTGCAGATCTCCACAGAGCCCGGGCAGACAAAGGAAGTGGCTATGAGATAGGAACAATAAAACTCTTCTACAGTGCAAAAAATACCAGCGAACTCCTGTTTAAGGTAAGGGGGACATGTGTGTTTCATAGCTTGCTGTAAGCAAACTTGTGTCCTGGTATTCATTGTCAGAACTTTCTTTCAGTTCTGTCTCCTCTGCAGCAGGTCAAACAAAAGGCTTGACAGGCTTACTTGTGTCCAAGTGAGAGTTAGCCGACACACCTTACAATTAAAACAGCTCCTGTCGAGGAGGCTCCCAGAAGTGAGAGCATAGGGCAGGTTTGGTGGGCTTGAATCTGGAGGTGGATGAACTGAAAAGTCACCAAGGTCCTGAGATTCCATGAAGAGTCAAGAGACCTACAGGTGGGCTCCTGTAGGTGAGGCGTCCATAGTTTGGACCCAGCTGGGTAAATGAAACCCCCATCAGTTGCATCTGTTGAAACTAAGAACATTCTACGAGAGAAGGCTTTCACTTGGATTGCTTTGCAGCTGCAAGGATGTGAACAAAAGAACAGAAACAGTTAAAAGACACAACTGTGGTCAGTGAAACTGCTGCTTAATTGCCAATGCTTGAGAAAAAGGAAAAACTCCCAGGGAGTTAGTAATATGCTTGTTAGCATATTCAGATTTCAATTAAAGCCAACTAACCCTCTGTACTCTGAATGCTCTGGCCTGCTAGGCTGCAAACAATATCTCCCTGAGTAGAGAGCAAGAGCGGCAGATGTGTGCAGAATGGGAGGCGAGCTTCGGCGTCAGTGGTTGTTCACATCTGTTTCGATTTTTTTAAATTGTAGTGTGACTGAATATGTTTGACATTCCAGAAAAATATCCTCGATTTAGTAAATGAATTTCCTGAGAAGATTGCGTGCAGTTTGCATGTTACAAAACAGACTACACAAATCAGCGCCGAACTCAAGCCATATAGCACGGGTGAGTCCCCTAAAGATGTTTTGACTATCTCCATTCAGTGACTTGGTGGACACGCCAGCTGATTGAGTGTAGATGCCTTATTGCTGGGAGTTGCCGGCTGGGAATGTCACTACCTGGGGAATTGAGAGATGATTCATCGTGGAAAAATAAAGAGAGATTTAGTTGGTTTTACTTGTTATATACAGGTTTCCTACTGCCCATATTAAAAATTTATTTTCCACATTTTTGTGGAAATGATCTTTGCGTCATCACTGTAGAATGCATACAAAGAATATATTCCAGCTTTGACTGAATGGATTCCATTTGCCATTAATGGTAATTTAAATTACTCGTGGTTTCCCCTGCTTGGAAGGATTTTTCACAACACAGTTTATTTACTTTGCTGAAGGCAGTTTTGAATCTCTACCAGAGATCAGTAAGCTGGCTGGCCGTGTCCGAAGAGCGTGTTATGATTAGCTTCCCAGTTCGCTGGCCATAGTTGAGGAAGCTGGAGATGTACTGTCTGCTCAGGTCTGGCCCCAGGTGCCAAGAGGAGCCATCGTATGAATGCCTCTAGACTCACTAAGCTTGAGTTACTGAGAACACACACTGTCGCTGAGTTGTGGTTAGACCTTCCTCATTTCAATACAAACATGTCTGGCTTAATTTGGTTTTTATTCTGTTTTTTTGGTAGAAGGAAGAATAACGGAGAAGGAGATAAGAGATCATATTTCCAAAGAGACTTTGTTCTATATTTGTGGCCCACCTCCGATGACAGACTTTTTCTCCAAGCAACTGGAAAACAGCCATGTTCCCAAAGAACACATTTGCTTTGAGAAGTGGTGGTAGGGAGTGGGCACAGATAGAAAAGAGAAAGCTCTGAGATCCGCTGAGACAGTAACAGATGTTTTTGTATGATTTGCGGCTTGATGAACTTACCTCTACTCAGTCTTATTTTTTAAGGCTGTGAACTAAGTGAGCAGCTGGAGAAGAAAAGAAAAGCCAGCTGACAGCCTTAAGTGATCAACTTTTTGCAAAGACTTCATTGATTAAACTAGTTTTTACTATATTGACTTTCTTTTATTAATAACTGATTATCTCATGATGTACCTTGAATTGGTCAATATGGATTTTCTTTCCCCCTAGGGATAAAAAGGACATATATTTACATTTAATCATACAAAAATGTGGTTTTGTGTGTGAAATGTAGGCCATCTTTAAATTATTTGACAGCAATCTATATATCTTATGTTCAATAAACATAATTTAAACACATTCTTAATAATTTTATGTTGAAAATTCTTTATATTTAATGTCTCAGTTTACTTTACTGTGGCCTACAGCCTTGTTTCTTTGGACCATCAAAGTTGGGTTTGGAAACAAAATTGTTAGGAAAACTGCTTTAGGGAATTGAATATCCAGCGTGTTTGCTTCATGTTAATGACTATCCGAAGTATGTATCCTGGCTAATTGTTAGTTTCTTCTCAGATGAAACCCTTTCTGTGCTGTGTCTTGGCTGCCTGCCTTAACGCTACATGTAGGAGCGGCTTCTGGTTTGGGACAAAGGCATTGGGACTGCTGTGTTCCATGTTGAATCTGCCTTCAATGGCTGGGCTGGCTGGCTGTAGAAATGTGCTTAGGATTGATTAGGGGGTACAGAACTGTTTGAAATTGCTGCTCCTCAGCCTTTTATTTCATTCCTTTGCCAGAGTTGTTTCTGGCACCAGCAGCTCCTCAACACATACTTGTTGCATGACTGAAAGAAAGCACCTAATGTTTAACTCCTTGGCAAGCCTGGGGTTGGGAGACAGTCCTCGGATGGGTAGAGAGAATAGTGGAGCCTCATCCCAAGGCTGCTCTGATGAAACTGCTGGAAAGCAGCCTATAGTTCTTATCTTTGTTTAGATTTTTAAAAATCCAAGAGAAGCCCATGGGCTAAGGCCAGGCCATCTTTTCTGTGACAAGCAGTCTTGAGCCCAAGACTGCCTGCTTGCAGAACACTTGAGGGTAAAGAGAGTGTGGGAAGAAGGACAGACCCAGGAGCTGGAGTCCCAGGAGCTCCAGCTGAGGAGATTCTGTTCTGGAGCTGATGAGAGAAGACAGCTTGCCCTTCTAGTCTGTGTGTGCAGGCCTCAGAGGGTCTGAGGCTTAAATGCGTAATTGACATACGGGGCCTGACGATGATGCTGGCATCACCATTGTAGCCTCTGCCTTGTTTTGAGTTTTGTCAAGTTTAAAGCAGAGATTATTTGTCAACTATTCCGATAACAGATTTGAATGCAGCAGGGGCAAGGGACGGCCGTTGACCTGATGCGAGTGTCCAAGTCCATTCAAGGCAACGATGGTCAGTGTTTCGGAGCTGAGGGGCACGTGAGAAGCTCTCACCACTCTGAGGAGCCCAACTCATCAGGTGGCTGAGCCTGGGCTTTAGGGCTGAGTCCTCAAGGGGCGCAGGAGCGTAGCACGATGAGATTCAGGGATGTGGGAGCAGCGAGGGGCTCTTCTGCCAGCTGGCAAAGGCAGCTGGCAGGGGAAGAGACACAAAGGTACGGAGAAAGTGCCCACCCCAGGCCTTTTGTGTTGGGGGTAGAGGTGCAGGGGGAGCACCTTCAGTGCCGCATGGGATGGGAGCATAGTGACGTGCCGCCCACTGCCTCTGTCCAACCAACACCACGGCCTGTGTGCCTGCTGTTGTCAGAGAGCAAGGGCCACCTGTCCTGGGGATTCCAGCTCTGTCCACCACCCTGCCAGAGATTCACTGTCTCCATCTGTAAACTGTGGAGACAGGCCAGGTCATGACCTTTGCCTAGACTGTAGCTCCTCCCAGTTCTGTCATTTCTGGTGCTGAGTACTGAACAGTGTTTCTGGTCTGCTGGCCAAGAATGTCCTATTGCCCTCACCTGCCAGGCCAGTCAAGATCTCTTTGGTACTCACACTGAGCTAACTCAGCCAGGGTAGCTTAGAATTTATAGTGTGCTGGCTGAGAACGTAGTCTGGAGAGAGCCTTTGAGCCAGACAGCCTGGGTTCAAATCTCAGCTATGTCACTTAATAGGTAGATAACCTGAGCCAGTCACTTATGCCTCGGCTTGTAATTACACTTGCAACTGCATGTAATATAAAGATGATAATGCTACCTACCTCATAGGGCTGCCATGGGGATTAAAGGCAATAATTCATACAGAGTGCTTGGCAGAGCACTGCATGAGTGTGTTATTAATTTGCTGTTCCTTGTCCTATTCAGAAAGGATTTCAAGAGGCTGCATGGCTTAGGTTTAGTCCACTAATCTGTAACCGTCATGCAGGAAGGGCCCTGTCTTGTTCACTGCTATGCTTGGCATATAACAGATGATAAATATTTCTTATGTGGGTGAAAGAGCCCGCCCAGAGCTAATGAGCTGCATTAAAGTAATTGTTAAGTGTTGTTCTGGCCCTATGAGTTTGTGAAAAGATGTTTCTTCTTGTGACGTGAGACCCTTTCACAGTCTACTCGAGAGGCAGGTTACGCTGATGTATGAGCTTTCTCTAATGTTAAGTGTTAGTATGAGTACCAGTGCTCACCAGAAAACGGATCAAATACCAGGTCTTTCCCAAATAGTCCACTATTAAAGGGGCTTTCAGGGCCGACCCCGTGACTTAGCGGTTAAGTGCACGCGCTCTGCTGCTGGTGGCCCGGGTTCGGATCCCAGGCATGCACCAACGCACTGCTTCTCCGGCCATGCTGAGGCCACGTCCCACATACAGCAGTTAGAAGGAAGTGCACCTATGACATACAACTATCTACTGGGGCTTTGGGGGAAAAAAATAAATAAATAAAATTATAAAAAAAAAGAAAAATCAAGGGGCTTTCAGAGAGGCCCAGAGCACTTCCTCACCAACAGAGTGTCAGCAGGTGGACATGGAGCTCTGAGATAAGGATGTTCCCCTGGGACCCTAATTCTGGTCAATAGTCTCTACTTAAAAAAAAAAAAAAAAAAACTTATGAAAATTTCAAAGATATGCCAAAGTAGAGAAGACAGTAAAATGAACTCCTATACATGCATCACCTGGCGTCCACAATTATCAACACTCTGCTGTTTAGTTTTGTCTGCCCTCAACTTCTTTGTGTTTTGTTGTTGCTGGTGTATTTTGGGGCAAATCCTAGAAATTATATCACATGACCTGTAAATTCTTCAGCATATATCTCTAACAGACATATCACCTCAACACAACCACAGTGCCATCATCACACTCAACACAAGTAACGAGGATTCCTTCATATCACGTAAGACCTTTCCCTGTTGTTTTCCCCCACTGCCTCAGAGTCCACACATTGCATTCGGTTGATTGGTCTTTTAAGTTTCTTTTCATCTACGGCACCTTCCCCGCACCACACAGACGTATACATAGATGCTTTTTCCCCTACCATTCATGTGTTGAAGAAACCGGGTCATTTGTCTTACAGAGTTGCCTACATTTTGAACCCGGCTTACTTCCTCAAGGTGTTGTTTAACATGACCCTCTGTCCTCTGTATTTCATGTAAACTGGTAATTAGATCCAGAGCTTACTTAGATTCAGATTCAAGATTTGTTTTTGCAAGACTACATCGTAAGTGGTGTTATGTACTTCCCATTTCATCACATGAGGAGGCATATGACTGTCCCAGTTTTAAATGTTGTTAAGATCCATCGCGGGTTCAGCTTGTTTTGTTTTGTTTTGTTTTGTTTTTTTGAGGAGGACCAGCCCTGAGCTAACATCCAATGCCAATCCTCCTCTTTTTTGCTGAGGAAGACTGGCCCTGGGCTAACATCCATGCCCATCTTCCTCTACTTTATATGGGACGCCGCCACAGCATGGCTTAACAAGCGGTGCGTCGGTGCGCACCCGGGATCCGAACCGGCGAACCCCGGGCCGCCGCAGCGGAACGTGCGCACCTAACGGCTTGCGCCACCGGGCTGGCCCCGCGGGTTCAGCTTTTGTCGGCCTGATCCATCCAGTATAAAGCTCTCTATCAACCTTTCGCCTAATTATCTTAGCAGCTGTTGATCATTGCCTATACCTACTATTTCGCAAGGATTAATTGTCCATTTCTATGATTTTTCCCGCATTTATTACCTGTGATTCTTCTATAAAGAACTTTCCCTCATTGACTTTGCCCTGAAATGAGTCTGAACAGGAAAGACAGGATCAATGCTTGATTCTTTCCCTTTATTGCCTATTATGAGTTGGTGCCCTAGCAACCTCGGTGATGACCAGTGAGACTTTTTTAAAGTATCCATTATGAACTCATGGCTTTTTATACATTTGATTGTTTTTATCCATTGCGGTCAGTTTTTCCATGTTCAGCTTGTTTCAGGTTGCCCCTGCTGTGTTAGTGGTCCACACTAAGTCGTGGGGGTCGATGAGGTTTGGGGGTCCTAGAGTTGCAAAAAGTGCTCTAATAGGAAGGAGGAAAAGGAGATGAGTGTGGTGTCAGGAAGGCACATGAAGAAAATATTTCAAGGAGGACGGACTGGTTAGCTGTGTTGTGCTGCTAATATGATAGGAAAGATGAGTTCTGATGAGCAGCCATCAATTTAGCACTGGGAGGTCTTGGTGATCTTGGTAAGATGGATGGTAAGAGTGAAAACACTGGAGGGGGTTTAGGAACAACTGGGAGGCAAGAAATTGTAATGAGAGAGTATAGATAATAGTTGCAAAGAATTTTACTATAAATGGAAAGAAAAAGATGGGTTGGTAGCTGGACTCCATTTTTTTACTCATTTTTAAAAATTTGTCAGGTTTTTAAAATTTTTTATTTTGAGATAATTATAGATTTATAGAAGAGTTTCAAAGATAGTACAGGGTTCCCATATACCCTTTACCGGCTTCTCCGAATGTCAACGTCTTACATAACCATGGCATATTTATCAAAACTAAGAAATTAACAGTACAGTTAAATTGGTACAGTACTACTAACTAAACCACAGTTTGTTTTTTTAGGATGAGAGAAATAACAACCTGATTGTATGAAAAACTATGAAAGAGTCATTTAGTGGGACTTCAGTTGGGGAGGTGATGACTTTTTCTAGAAGATGATAAATGGGTTAACTTATTCATTGAGCATCTATTGTGTGCACTGTGCTAGAAATTGAAGGTAGGAAAGTACAAGACAAAGGTTAACTTGAGGAGCAAGTTAAATACTTTGA